GAATGATAATATTCTAGCAGAAAAGCCACCCTCTGGGTGACTACATTTATTCTTTTCTACTTATAATTACAACAAACGCTATTAGATTATATCTTGGGAATGTGAAGGAACTGAATTTTCTTTAAGGGATTTAGGAATATACAACATTAGCCATTTTCTTATTTATTTTTGGCTAAACGTGTAGAGTTTGACTGCAAACAACTAAACAACTTTGATTGTTTTCCAAAGTTCTGAGGTATTTTCATTATTCCTTTGTTTTGTTTTTAGCTCTTCTATCTGATTGTTTCTTTTACACACAATGATTTAGCTGAGGTCTTCTTCAGCCTTCCTCAGATGTAAATAAAAAAAGTATTGAAGTTTGGTTTGGTCAGAGAAATGGTAACGGTAATATTAGCTGTTTCCATATAAGGAAACATTCAGCATTCATTGACCAAGTGGCCAATGATACTTTCGCTTAAAATTCATAAAATCTTTTTCTTAAAACAATTTTCCAGTAAAATAGGTTTCTCAAGTCCAGTAATTGTTATGGCTCTTTCTAGTACTGAGAAGCTTTCTTTGTAAGCTTTTGTTTGAAGTAGTATGGAATGTCCAATGATTACGTTATTATTTTCTCTTCAAGTTACAGGTGCTATCCATTTTAGTTGTTGCTGCTTTTGAAAGTCCTCAAGTGGTATGGTTTCTGCTATTTGGTTGATTGATTTGTTTTTATACAGTTTATCAAACATTTGTGAATATTTATCCCATAGCTAGAGAGATAAGAGATAGATTTATACCATTCCCAAGATTATTTGTGTGTAAGTGAATTTAACAAACTTGAATAGAATTCCATCTCAATTCTCTGAATTTTCATTCTGAGCCATTATCCATTACACCATCCACACACCTTCTGTTATTTGGTACAGTTCTTTGTTTGTGATTTAGTAGTGCCATTTCACAAGGTTTGAAGATGGATACATTTATGGGACAGCAATCAAATTATTAATCATTTGAATGACAAATTACTTAAGGGTTTTAATGTTACATAATAAATATATAACACAAATGAGACACAAAATGTGTTATTTGAATAGATTAAAATAATTCAGTTCTGAACTTGGTACAACGAATCTAAGAATTTTCAAGAAGGCAAAAATAGTAAATGATAATACAAAATTATATGGAATTCATTTTTTAATAAAGTTGTATCAGACATCTTTTATATGCCAAGTTCTTTCAGGCAATAATGGCTCTCCACAATTTCCCGTCTTTTGTAATTAATTTTCGACTTTTTATCATCCCAATTTGTCCTTGCTATGTTATTCCTCTACACAATTCTGTTATGTAGATTACTTATTGTTTCCTCATGTTTCTATTGCCTTCAATATATCTAGGGGGTGTTAAATTCTCTAGGCCTTCTTTCTTCATTATATGTTCCAGAAAGTTCAGCTGTCTCTTTCTGATTGTAAATTAAAGTTTTCTTGTTTCTATTTTTCTTAAAACTTCCTTGTCCTTTCTATGGTATTCTTTGCATTTGCTTCAAGTCTCTTTATCTGTAAGGAGATAGTCCAGCATTTACTGCTATGGAAGAGATTAGATATTACATAAGAATTTTTAATTCTACTAATACTTTAAAGTTTATCCTTTATCTTTTTAGTTACTGTATACATTTATTATTTTTTCCTCGATCAAGTTCTGACACAAGTGAAGAGTGGTAACTGGTAAACTCCCAATTATTTTTTTTTTATTTTTCAGGTTTTCCATATTAAAATCCAGTCTCTTTTTTTTCTTTCTCTTATTTTACGTACATATTTTAAATATATCTGTGTTATATACTCCATTATTAAATTTTGTATTGCAAATAAAATTTTCAAGTATCATTTAGTTCTGACACAAGGCTACAGGCATAGGGTATTTAGTCAGGATTGAACTCACTATGCAATAGTTAATATCAGCAAAAACAGCTTGTTAAACTTTACATCACAGTAAGGCTATTTCTGTGGTTTGTCTATAGGTTAAATGTGCTGGAAGGAAAGTATATGAATATAAAATATAAAACATGTTATTAACAAAAACAGTTACTTATAATATAAAAAACTGTCTCATCCTTAATTCAGCACCTATGTATTATCTGTATATAGAGTTATAAACTGTTTAGTATTGGTTTAAATTTGTCTATAAAAGTTTTTTTTTGCATTTGTAGGTAAGAATAATTGTCTGTTTGATATATTAACATAATTTTAACTTTACCTTGACTACATTTGTAGATGTATTGTGATACAAAGAGTTTTCTGTTGTCTGGTAATTTGATGTTGCTCTTGTGAAGGGAAACTGTTGTTTAGTGCTTGGCTGATACCTATATAGGACTTGTTGCATTTCCTGCACTTGAGTGCATAAATGACATTTCATCATTATAGAAGGAAACTCCTACACTTTTGAAAACTTCACAACATTCACAATAAATGAAAATTTAAACTGCAACTCCAAAAATGTGATTTATTCCCCAAATACACGAAAATGGAGATAGGTCTAAGAAGATACAGAGGTCATAAAAAGATAAGAACAAAGACCTCCTTCCTTTACCCTTTCTCTTAGAAATCCTAATTGTTTTATTACTCCTTAAGCAGAAGAATATTTTTTCCACAAGTCCAAGAAAAAATTTGATTACTACTACACCCAAAAGACAATGGTTAAACATTGGAAAACACAAGGAAAATCAATTCCTTTTAATAATATGTGGAAATACCCACTCTTTCCCTGGTGAAAATCATGTGACTGGAAACATGTGTAGTAAAAATATGGAAAATAAAATATGTATTTAAAAAATCCACATTATAACAAAAAATGTTTGCAGCTTGTCTCTTTTCTTTATATATATATATATATATATATATATATATGATAATAATAGGTAAATTTTGAGATATCAAAAACAGTTTTGAAGGAAAGATGTATGACAAAGTGGAAAAAGTTTTTGTGTGACACATTTCATTCCTTAGGAATTCATTAAACTAAGTTTGTTTATGTTAATACACACACACACACACACACACACACACATATATATATATATATATATATATATATATATATATATATATATATATATATATATATATATTTAAAGAAATGATGGTTTTTATTAATCCAATAGACTTTATTACTTAAAATTTATTTTTAGTCGATATTCATATTTAAGGAGATGCCACATTTAATTGTTAATAATAATGTCAATATATTTATTTATTTATTTATTTAATAAGATTTCCTGACTATGCAGGTCAGTAGACAAAAATAAATAAATGTATTGTTTAGTAAATAAACAGACCGTCTACTCAGATATGGGTATCCACTGAAAATAATGTTTAAGTAACATATATATAAAATTGTGCATGTGTATGAAAAGACATTTTAGAGAGTATATTTCCAGGAAAGCAGAAAACTCTCAAGAAAGAGGCAATAATGTACAGATTTAAACATTTTATTTTATTAATAATATATATATATATATATATGGGATTAAAATATATATATTTTTTTATATATCAAGAATATTTTTGGAGGAAAGATGTATGACAAAATGGAAAAAGATGTTTAAAAGAAATGTTGCTGCCCAAATATACATTAAAATATATTTAGATAGATGTAGATATATATGAGATAATGATATATAAATTTTTATACATCAAGAACTTATTCGGAAGAAAGATGTATGACAAAATTGAAAAAGATGTTTAAAAGAAATGTTGCTGCCCAAATATACATTAAAATCTATTTAGATAGATATAGATATATATAGGATAATGATATATCAATTTTTATATATCAAGGACTGATTCGGAAGAAAGATGTATGAAAAAAAATGGAAAAGATGTTTAAAAGAAATGTTGTTGTCCAAATATATATATATATATATATATATATATATATATATATATATATATATATATATATATGAATGAGATAATGATATATAAATTTTATATGTCAAGTAACTTATCCTGAGTTATTGAAATAGGATTTGAAAATATGGATTAAATCCCTCAATAATTAAATAAGGAAACAAGTAGGAATATTTTTATAAATTTAACATCCTTAGCTATTTATTTAAATTCATCACAAATCTTTTTGGAAGAGGAATAACGTGGAGTTGTTTCAATTTTTAAATTCTATGTTGTTTTATTATCATTGATTAGGTAAGTGTCATGTGTTCATTTTATGGCACTAGTATCTACGTATCAATTTATGTAGTTTATGTGTTTAACTCATAGTGTGTGCATGTTCATGTTTAATTATTTACAGGGTGCGATGGGTAAATTGTCACCATTTTATATTTTTTTTAATTTTGTACATGTGTGGTGTACGTTTTTCATTTTGTCAATTGCACATGTAAGATGGTCAGTTGGGCACTGTCTATGAGAAAAAGATCACCATAATGCAATTCACTTTGCCAGAAATTTGGAAATAGCATGTTGTACTTGCTGTGCTGGAACAAAGCATATTTATTTTATATTTATTTGGTTATGTGATGCTTATTCATTTCTATATTAAACAAAATATAGTTATCCAACAAAATGATTAAAAAAAAGAAAGAAACACTCAGAAAACTTTTATAAAGTTGACATGTTTCACTATTAATTTAGCTTCATCAGAAATTTTTTAAATTCTATGCTGTTTGGTTTTCATTGGTCATCGAGTTAAGGATGCATTTAAGGAAAATCTCTGTTGACAATTAAATTATTTTTGTGATTCTTGGGATAATAATGTTTTAGTGGGATTTTTTCTATTTTCAATATTTTTATGGCTTATCAATTTTTTCAAATTATTTAAATGCCAAAAATATTTTTAGATTGTAAGAAAGATAACACGGATTTACATACATGTTCAATTTTACCCAAGATGGTAAGTTCTTTTGCAAGGGTATTGCATGTAAGCAAATATAATGAACCTGACTGGAATTGGAACCCGGCTCACCAAATTTTCAATTCCAAGCTGTTATCCATTAGACCACCCAAACATCCAAGCTTACAGCACCTAGTCATCATAAGCGATCACCCATCTAGGTATTGACCAGGCTCAATATTGCTTAACTTCAGTTATCGTATGAGAACTGGTCTTTCAATGTGATATGGTTGTAAGCCTTCTAAGCCAACCTTATTCAGCTTCCTTCTGCTTTTGTTTTTATTGCCTTTCATTTTTAAATATCTCACATTGTACTAGCACTAGTTTTGCTAAGAAATATCTCACATTGTACTAGCACTAGTTTTGCTTAGACATAAATTTATCATGGAAGACTCAGAAACTAGTGCACTTTCTATACATTTTCATCTTAATAAATAATTTTTTTCTTAAATTCAAACTGCATTCCTTAAGTAAAAATTATAGCCAGATTACAATGAATGACTTTGTTTTTATCTGTTAATATTTGCTGTCAATTTCAAGGTCACAAGATGTCTCATTCACTTAAGAGCAGTTGAGTCAAAACTTCTTGTTGAATGAAACAGAATGACATTAACATCAGTCTATATTTCTGAGATGAGGCATTGTAAATATTTATATTGTTTGGACTGTTGTCCTCATCTTTATTGTTATATTCATCATGTTTCAGCATTCTTCAGGTGATATTTGTTGGAACTTCAAACTGAACCACTATCAAGTCCACAAGAGTAGATTGTTCTAATTCCATGTACTATCTTTCAGTTAATTTGCCCTTATAGGAAGATTTTGCAAGAAACACGGAAAAGAGTACTAAAAAATATATATATGATATCTGTCCTCCTTCATGGCAGTGTTTAAATTATCAATCTTAGAAAAGATGAAGAGGAGAACCCTGGATCTGAAAAGGAAAAATATGAGCAAAATTGAAAATTTTTTTCAAAAACGGAAAAATAAGGAAAAATTTTTAACATCAGGATGAGAAACATTTAAAGATTTCTGGAGCACCTAATGAGGAAGGAAGGCTCGAAAAATCTAATACTCATGAGACAGATACAGGGCAACTTTTGAGAGAGACAGTGGAAAACAATGCAAAACATACTTAATGACCTTGAGTAAATGGATAGTGGAACAGGGTTTAGGAGAAATAACAGAAAGACAAAGTTTATTAAGAGTGACAAGAGACAAGAAGTTGTAGAAAGCTTATGTCCCGAAGGGGAATATATGAAAATCTGTATTTATATTATTTAAAAATTTTTTAGAATTGTTTTTTTTTTTGCTGAGGTCAAGGATTGAATTCATAATTCTTATTTATATTTTTTTGGTTTTAATCCACTAATGCTTTTATCCCAGTAGAACAGTTGAATGCAACAATAAAGATGAGGACAACAGTTCATAGATTGTAAATGAAACTAATCAGAATAAATTTGTAATTATACTAAGTATAAGTTAAATACTTGCATCAAACATAAAAAAAATATAAGATACAAAAAAAAAAAAAAATAATTGACTTTTTGAATTTTTCTGTTCTTAATTCAGTTGTAAAATTTAGAAATCTGTTCAAAGTTATTTTATCGAGAAAACCCTGTCTTTTTTTCCTGGCTCAATTTAAAACAATCTTTGAATCAACAGATGATCTTGAAAATCTTTAACACTTACAAAAATATTTCAAATTTCCAAGATACTCAATTTACTTGTCAGTCTTTGAAATGTTTTTTTTATTTATTTATTGTAAATTCAATTTAATTTCCTTGCTTTGTCAGCAACTTAATGAAATTTTATGGATTTTTTTCAGTTCATGTTTTTATAATATTTTCCAAAGGCAAATGCAGGGTTTTATTTACATATTATTCATATATGAGTGTTTTAATGTTAAAGGAAGTTTTTTCAAAATGAAACATTACAACCACTTAAGATAGGTTCAAGGGTTAGAATTTTTTTTAATCCTCATTTTTTTAGTCACATGCCCAAAACATACTCATATAAGTAGAATGAATGTTACCAAAATAATGAGTCACTGGAATGCCAGATTACAAGTTTTAATATTGAAAATTTTTTTCCAAAATTGTATTGTGTGTGTTGTTCAGTTTTTTTCCCAGAGAGAGGGAGGGAGAGGAGATGAGTGCTGAAAAACACTCATTAATATTTTCAGGACCATCTGAAAAAGTTCAGATGTTTGATCCCATATATATTTTGACATCATGGTATATTTTTTTATCTATCATAATAAATGATAACAAATGGTTTTCACATGTTTCTTTAAATTTTTCATCCCAAAAAACAAACACCTGTTTCAAAAAATTGCTCAGAAAAAAACAGGCTGTTATTGGGTAGGTAAATAAAAAATGATATTTTTTATGAATATAAATGAGCACTTTTAAAAATATTTAAAATAGAGCACATTTATATACATGAGAAAAGGAAATACAAATTTTATATATAAAATAGCATTCACATATATATTGCCTAATGATTGCATTTTTTGTGTGAAACTTTTATTTGCAATTTGAAGTTATTATTTGGGACTTTTATATGTTTTTGCCATTGCTTCATAACTTTGTTGATTTCAATAATATTTGTTGCATATTTACTGAATTTACTAATATATATTGAGGTATCAATGACTATATATATATATATATATATATAAGTTATTAGTCAGAGATGATTTAAACCAAGAAACGGTAGTACTGACCAACCTGAGTTCTCAAGCATCTCAGATGTCAAACAAATCATTTTTCAAATAGAAAATTCGAGATGAAAATGCCTCTTTATCGAATACAATTTCAGTTCTTGAACAACATTGCTGAACCAAGTTAACCCAAACAGAATCATTTCTGAGTTGACCGCCTATATAATTACATATATATGTTGTGCTATTTGTTTTTTTTATAATTTTATTGTATATATATTTTTTCTCTACATTGATTCCTATTGGAAAAATAGTTTTGCTTTATAAATATTTCAGGTTATAAACTGCCTTCAAGAATGAATTAAATTCGTGAACTGAGGTTCCACTGTATTAAAATGTACTCAATACACATATAAAGAAAATAAAATAAAAATTTAACATGTAGAGCTTTTAAATTAAAAAGGTATGGCCATTCTTGATCATCTTTATGTCCATAATTATATATATATATATATATATATATATATATATATATATATAATCATTGATACCTACATATATTTCTAATATAAATAAAGTAAAAAGAAACTTACATTTATCAACATTTGCCATTTTACTACAATATATAATTTTCTTGGTTTGTTTACTTTTAGTAAATTTCATGATAAAAAGCAACAGTTTTATTTTCTAAGTAATAATAAAGTTCTAAAAATGCTTAAATAGATGGAAGCTTAAAGATTCCAATTTAAAACTTTTGGCTTGCCTTCTTATTTTTAAAAAATACAAAAAACCTTAATTAATTTTATTTTATTTCTGGTTCTATGATTTGAAAGCAAACATAAATATATTTAAATATTTGAAGACTAACAAAAAAGTATTTAAATATTAGAAGGCTAATAAATAAAGATATATAATTTGCTTTGGGATGTCACAATTCCTTATGTTATTATTTCTAGAAAATATTTTACGATTGCTGCTTTTCTAGAAAACTGTTTTAGCGGACAGAAAATGCAACACTGAAATCTGAAGGTACATTGAAAAAGTGAAAGAGTTCTTCCAAATGCTAGGTAAAGTATTAAAAATCTGGAAAATGAAAAACAAAGAAGTATATATTAATTGTTATATATATCATTGTTTTATATGGCAACAAAATATATAACAAAATATAGTTCTATATATATTACTAGAATACCATTTCAAACAACATGTGAATAAATGGATATATATTCAATAAAAATGGAAACAAAAAGGTTGTTTATATTTAGAATCAGAAAGAGAGAGTTGAGGAAAGAAAGCTAGGAGAATTTGGCACTCAGAGGACATTTTGAAGGCAAGAGGGACAGAGGAAAGTAGTGAGTAACTTAACTAAAGAACTTGTGTAAATGGATGACAGAACAGGGACAGGATGGATATTAAAAAAAACAAATAAAATATTTTCTATAAAGGAAAATTATTAAATTGTGATTGGCTAATTCATGAATGACATAAATATAGAAAATAAGAAAAATTTTGTAATGATTCATTTTAGAGTTGAAAATATTCCTTGATGTCTTTATGTTACAAATCACCATCTTGTGAGTTTAAATTCTGCTAACCATTTAATTAAAAAAAAACTGTGGAGATAAAAGTTTTCTTTTTGAATATTATATAATAGGATAATATTGGATATTCTAAATATTATATAATAAGAGATTGTACTGTATTTTTCAGTGTATAAAATGCATATTTTTACCACAAAATTTGATGTTATTATCAACTTGTATCTGATACATGGAATGTATTTATATACCAGGTGTAACACCAAAATTGTCCAATTGTTAGATTAAGCTTTGAACCGTTGTATCTTAGAAATGATTAAAGATATCTTACTGGAATTCTCCAAGATTTTTATAACACTATTGGACTCTACTTTGAGCAATAAGAATGTATAATTACTCTCCAAGCTTAACAGAAGAATCGTGATGAAATTGATCATAAATGAAAATGACATGTTCATCATTAATTAATCATAGCTAAGGATCAGAAGCTCATGAAGGATTGAAATAAAGTTCAAATATATATATATATATATATATATATTATTCCAGGATTATTTTTCAACTTATTCAAAGTGATCTTTACCCTCTCTAACTTTCTAACTTTCTTTTCTAGAGTAATAAGATGCCTCACACGTTTCAGATACGATTTCATTTTCAAGTTTTTTTTCACTGCTCTTTGGGCTGTCATAGCTGAAACTCCTCTCTTACATGCAAAACATTTTATGAATTGAGTTGGATCTTTTCTAATAGATCTCTTTAGCTGATGATCCCTCTTCCTGTTGTGATACAGTTTTCCTCTCTACTGTTCCCTCTATTTTAAAATTATTCACCATTCTCTTCATGGTTCTTGAATGGAATTTGACATTTGAAGACAGATTATGAATGTTGGTATCATTACTGAAGGCCTGAATGATCTTTTTCCTCTGACCAATGCTCATTTGGAAAGACATTGGGGCTGACTGTTCTCTTTCTAGCTGAATAACTTAAAGGTCTTTTTACTGATTCTTATGACAAATGGTGCCAAGATGGCTA